CTACTAGGAGCAAGGACGCTACTAGGGGCTCCTGGCCGTACTACTAGTAACAAGAACGCTACTGGAGCAAAGGGAAAACGTAAGACATACTACGACCGACGACCATCTACGACTACAAATACCCCCACTTTTTTCAGTGACAGTCCACATCAGAAACGATCGCAAGGGACACAAGCTGAAACATCGTTGAACAAACACACTGGGGGAGGCCTCGGCCTTCTGCCAACCCAATGACCATGGTGGACCGTGTGGGGGACCATGGGTGGACCAAGTTTCCTTGGACTCACTGATTGGTGAGGGGCTCAACCAAGGGACTTGCAAATCCTGGTGAACTTCAAGGCGTTGCGCACTTCCACGGTCGCCATGTTTGCGAGGATGTTTTGTTTGTTTTCGCGGAGGGTGCACCGGCTCTTCAGCTGACGCTTTTTTGAGAGCAAAAGGCTGGCTGGAAAAGAAGAAAACATGGAAATGCATGAGGCAGCCAAAACCATTCCAGTAGTAGTAGTTTATAGCTTCGTCATGGTGGATGTCTGGATTCCACTTTCATATTTCAGCAATTCCAATTCACAAACTTCAAACATGCAGTATAGGTTGGAATAGGTACTGTACCAGTACGGTTTTGTTTTGATGAGATAATCACACAAATTGCATGCAAAGGCATCTGGTTGGTTCACTGTTGACCTCTCCGTGAATCCGGGTAATCGTTGAAGAATCTCTGGCCGCTCGTCCTGCACCTCTGCGCTCGTCTGCGCTCATGTGTGAGAGAATCCATCGTACACGGTGCTTCATGATGGGTGGTCAACCGGCACCTCAAATGGCTCATAATGGCATGTAATTTTATACGATAATTGATCAACATTGTACAAAGTCCATGTAGCTCTCTGCGACCCATGGATTGCTGTAAAGGCAGTTGGTGGGTGAGTTAAAATCTATTCAAAATAATTGGATATAATTGGGTACAAAAATAGAGTAAAGAAGTCTTTGGTGCTGTTCCCTCCCCTCTCCCTCCATCCGGAGCCGAGGTGCCATGCTGGGGAGGTGCAAAAGCTCATCGAAGGCATCGAAGGAAGTCGCCTGACAGTTACGGGCAACCGTATTTGGAGGCCATCGCTTCTAGGAGGTCAAGAGTCAAGAGATACACCACCCAACGGACCCAAGAGAGATCCGTCCGTTTGCGATTCTCAAGATGTTCAAAGACGGGCGTCGTCCGGCGTCCGGACGGAAAAGGAAAGGTTTTAACTCCAAAAATTAATGTACATGTTCATCAACAGAGTGGTTGTTATCGCTGGAAGCCAAGGAAACCATGGCCAAGAGCAGGCTGTGGTTGTGCCCATCGCCCATCGCAACACTCCACTCCAAAAACACGTGTGATGTGCGACATCTCGTGCTGCCTCTTGCATGGCCGCCTGCAAGACGGCACACCAGATTGGCACAGTCTTACTCCTGGGAGGTCAACAGGCAAGGCTCCACGAGAGAGGCTCCGCTCCACGAGGTTCGAAGCGGATGAGTTGTGACGACCACCGCCCTACCACCGTTGAGAACCGAGCCGTGACGACTCCATCCTTTGTTTTCCGGCTTCCCCACCGAGTCAGAACGGCCTTAACGGGCGCTGATTGAACATCCAGTTTCTTTGCCCAAATTCTGGATTATAATTCACCAAATGACAAGGGACAAAAAAACAAAAACACTGACTAATGACTGTAGAAATACGGTTACACTTTGTTAGAGCTGCAAAAAAACCGTGTGTGTGTGTCAACCCCGCCAAAGGGTTCACTGCCAACTTCTACCTTTTTCACAGCAGGGGG